TGGGAAAATACTTTGATCACACAACTCACAATAGGAAATGATTTAGGCCGCCTTTTCTATGATCATATTAAGCCATTTGCACCCTTTCAAACACCGTCTACCCCACAAAGCTCCAATGAGGACATTGTTGAATTTAAGTTTGGGGGAGGACTTTATATAAGGACAAAAAGTCAATACAAAAGAGCAAAGCTCTAATTTGACTCCTTATCACAAAAGGGATGGAAAAACACAAATAAAAGTCCCATAGGGGCTTTGTGTTTCAAAATAGCACAATAAAAGTTCCGTAGGGACTATGTGCACACTCCAATCAAAAAGAGGCCAAAAGTGCCCAAATTTTGAAAAAAATTCATATGTGGAGTATAAAAGGAAAAAGGCTACGAGAGAAAAGAAACACCAAAGAGAGTAAACCCTATAAGCCCTATTGTCCTAATTATGTGATTGTGTTTGAGCTTAACGAAGAAAAGGGAATGCTAGCCTATGATTCACACAAAAACTTGGTTTTGAATGACTCATCTTCGATTTATGAAAGGCTATGAACTTCATGTTTGCTATAACTCTATTTGAGTAGGCACTTAATGCCTTGATCATGCATTTTTGTTTATATTAAGTCTTTGTATTTGTCTTTTGGTTGCTTGGGGACAAGCAACGGTTTAAGTTTGGGGGTGTGATATGTGTTGAGAATTCAACATATAATGCACTTATTTTACGTCTTATTAGTTAAAATTAGTTTCCTTTCGTTCCCACTTTGAGTCATTTTGATTAATTTCTTTATACCTTTATTATTATGGAGCTAAAATATTGTGGTTAACTTGTTCGGACATAAAGATACAAGCTAACGGATAATTTTTGCTAAAACAGTCTGATGCTACAACATTGCAGCAACAATCACCTGATACGTGCACGGTTTTGCGAGGGCTTAACGATTAAGCTGCTGCCTTTTGAATGCTGAATGGAAGATAGCTGGAAAACAGCTGGAAGACAATTTAAAATCTGGGATTTTGACTTTATATGTACTCTTGTACTTTAGATGCTCTTTGGTTAACTTTTGGGTATTAACCTTTGGGTAAATCTTTTGTTGTTTTGTGCCTCCTTTGGGTATAAAAGAAGGGGCTTGGCCTTGTATTTCTACACACCTTATAACATATATGCAAGATCAAAATCAGCTAGTTAGGGATGATTTTGAAAGAATTTTTTGGAGAAATATCAAATTCTTGAGTTTTTAAGCTTTCTTCTTTAATTTCTCGTCTTTTATTTTCCGTTCTTTATTTTACATTCCTTTACGATTATTGTCATTTACATTCCGTCATTTAATTTCCGTAATTTACATTCTCATATTTATTTTCCCGTCATTTACATTCCCGTCATTTACTTTCTTGTCGTTTATTTTATCGTTATTTACTTTACGCAATTTACGTTTATGTCTTTACTTTTTGTTATTTATTTTTTACTTTCCATTATGAGTAGCTAAGCTTTTATAGCTTGGGTGTGAGACGGAAAGGTGAGATTTTCAAACCAAACAAAAGTAGCCAAGTGTTATCGTAAACGACGTTCCATTGTTTCATTCGAGTTTTTATAAAAACCAAGCACATTTCTTGACGGGTTGATCACTTTGAAAGTGTTAAAGTGCAATGGACTTAGAGATAAACCATTAATAAGCACGTCAACTTGAATGACATAAGATGTAGACTTGAGAAAGTTGCCGACAAGGAGACTTGTCATTTATGTTTTTCAAAACTTAACTCCCGACGGGTTGGTCACTCTTCGAAAATGTCAAAGTGTGATAGATCAGAGATGAACTATCAAGAACACGCCAACTCGAATGATATGGGAATCGACTCGAGAGAGTGATTTTTAACAAAGAGATTTGTTTATCCATATATTTTGAAAACATCATCATGTCACTATCCCAGGTCCGGACACCACATAGAGATATAAGTGGAAAGCTATAAGATAGTGCAATGGTGAAGTCCGAGAGGAATGCCTTCAAAATAGATGGTGGAACTTAGTTTCGAAACACTGGTTGCTATAGCTTTCCTATAGCATTGGCTGCTGGAATTTGTGTTTGGGTCTCACATTAAGTCTTACACCCTTGCTTCTTTTATATATTATGTATTTTGTTTTAATTCACCTTAATATCAAACAAAAGTCTTCAAAATCGTCATCTGAAATCATCTCTTTCATTGGACTCTAATATAACTTTGGCTACAATCTCTGTGGACGATAATCCGGTACTTGTACCACTTTATTACTTGGAAAGATGACGTTGGGCCGTATTGTATACTTGCTTTGTGGCCCAATTTCATTAAGTCTAAAGGTGTGAAAAATAACCGACCACAATCCATAAGAATCAATAAAAAAGGCAAATCTCTTGTGATACACTAAATCCGGCTCAATTGTTGATCCGGTGAATAAATCTGTCATTTCTTGAAATCTCTCATCTGATTCAAAATCGTGGTGTAACGTGTAAAACTATCTATGAAATGGAGAAAATAGGAGAGATAAGCCTTTCTTTCTTCAAATATGGAGATCACTCTAAAAATGATTATCAAGTGAGAGCACCAATAGGAAACTCTAACGATAAATATTTAGAAAGAGAAATAATATTTTAATAGATGAATGTAATATTTTAATATTATAATTAATGTTGGATTCTCTAAAACGAGGAATCTGTTGAAGATGAATGTAATTTATTTTTGTAGATTTTAACTTTTGGTTCTTCCTTTTAAAGAAATTTTGAGGATATATGATATTGGATTGGGTTCACGTGAGACCAAGGGTTTTTTCTTGAGACCTGTTAAACCAATTTATGTTCATTGATCAATTTTATAAGCTAATAATCTAATAGTCTAAAGTTGCACGATGACAATTTTGTAATTATTGAGAAGTCTCGTAATAATTTTGTGATTATAAATGTTCATATTGTAGATCTAATCCAATGATTAAGAATTAGTCTTAGGGTCTCAGGAAAAACATTTAGTCTCACATGATCCCAAATCATTGATATTTTGAGAAATTATGTTATTGCAAAAATTGATATTTAGGGATTAAAAATGTAAAATAACCGGAATGTTTGACTCAAATATGTGATTTCTTGTAAAATCAGGGGTCCAAATGAAAATTGTTTATTTTATCCCTTTAAAAGCGGGAAATATATGGAATTGGGGGGGAAAGTAATCGTGGCAACAAGGAGTGCAGTTTTAAATAACTGATTGCAGTCTGTTACCCACACAAAGCAAACCTCAGCTATCGACGATGGCGAAAGCCGGCGATGTCGATCAATTTGCTTCACGGATTATACCCAACTGTCAACCCACCGCCTCGCAGGAGGAGAAGTTAGAGTCTTGCCCTTTCGCACGCGAATCAGAGGTGTTTTCTGGCGGCTTGCAGTTGTCTTCGTCACCGGACGAGGCGTCGGAACAGGCCACCGGAATATTAATGGTATCTCTGCCGGAAAGCTCTGATGATTACCAAACTCCTCCAGAACAACATTTTTATTCTCAGAACTCCAGCAATGACGGTCAGTTGCCGGCAACAAAAACGGCAGCTGTTGATCGGGAGATGGAGAGCGGTGGAGTTGGAGAGGGGGAGACGATGGTGGCGGAAGATGACTGTGATCGGCAGGGACTGAAGGTGATTAATTTAAGTAACGAGTCTGATAATCTAGGGTTTTCGGAGAAGAGTCCTAGGGTTCATCTTGAAGATAATGACACAGTGATGGTTGATGATAATGGTACTCATCTGGCTGATGATAATGATACACTTATGGTTGATGATAATGGTACTCGTCCGGCTGATGATAATGATAATCATCCGGTTAATGAAATTGACGCTGAAAATTCGGTTACGGAAGCTCGTGAGACAGATTTAATCAGCTCGCCAAAGGAGGGCACACATGAAGTGTTTGTGGAAATGCCTCAAAGAGAAGAAGAGGCAAGTATAAACCCTTCAATAGCTAATCCAACTTTAAACAGAGGGAAACGTCGATTGCCACTTTCAGTGAATGGGGGAGATCAAAATAACGGAGAGAAGGGCGACTATTCTAAGCATGAGGCCTTCAGAAATGCCCTTGACCGTGCTTTGAAAATGTTGGTAGCAGGGATAAAAGATGACTGCCATGAGGACATTGACTTTCTCAGGACTGCAAAAAGGCGAGGTATGACTTTCCCTCGTCCTAGATGGTGGCCACCTGAAGATGGTTTAGAAGATTAAAGATGCATTGTATTTTGTGATGGTTGCCATGATGCTTTAAAATCTTTTGGTTAGTGATTCTATACATCAAGTGAAATCTAGCAAGTAACTTTTAGTTTTAATCTTTGAGCATGGGCTCATGGCTGACTCAAAGGAGTAGTGTTTACATCATAAATAGATTTCTTTTTTTATCTGATATAAACTTGCATCTAAATTCATTATCTTCTTGGTGCTTAAAGTAAAAAATTGTTACTTTGTTATTTGGTGTTTTAATCATCTGAGATCAGCAATCATATACATGATTTTTTGGATTATTATAACAAACATGAAAAGTCTATGCTGACACAGAGCTTGGTGAAGATCAATCAGGCCCTTGAATTGGGATTTAAACTCCACCACTAAGAACCATTCAGCATTTTGTTGTCATGATGGTGATGTAACAATAGTAAACCTTGTCAATTCGAAAGATATTTGACAAATTTATATACATGGTTTATCTGTACCTGTAAGATTCCAATGTATATTTTATAACTACTTCTCAAGTTAGCCACACATTGTATATAATATAAAACAATAATGCATGCTTTTGTGCTTTTCTTTCCTTTTATTACGCATGTATGGTTGTAGGTACAGATCTCATCACTATCAATCATGTACCCTAGGCAGACAAGTTCTGTATCATGCTTCCACGAGGCATAAAAAACAGCACTATCCTTCAACCTACTTCACATGCATCCCACATAGTCAAAACATTCAGAAATTCTCTCTCTCTCTGTTGTGCTGTATCAAGATTAGAAAAAAGATAAAGATCATGATCATTAAGATTGCAAAAAGCTTTGACTTTAGGTAAATTATCTCCTGTAATTTGCAAAAAGTCAACTCTTATGCTGCATTCAGGTTCTCCAATAACTAGTAACCATTTCTTGCATTTTTGAGCTTTTTACAGTACAATATCTTATCTCCCTATACAAAAAGGGCTATCATACTTGTCCCTTAAGAAATTTGTATGTTGTATGCATTGACTGCCAAAAAGAAGCCAAAAACAACCAACAAACCTTAGTTCGGAGACTCATGTTCGAGATGCTAAACGCTACAAGCCCAGTTCATGAGGTTTTGCAAAATTAGACACCCGAAGCACAAAGTACGCAGCTCGTCTAGATAACCAAGAAAGTCAACAAAATGTATAGTCCACTGCTAGGGACTTATATGGAGGCTACATAGTAATGGTTCGGGAAGGGGTATCATAGTAGAAGAGTCATCTACATAACCCTAGAGATTTTGACTAGTTTGTTAGGGGCGAACAAAGCTTGGGTATGTTGAGCTACTAGTACTACCAGTGCTTGCTTGGGCTACAAAACTTGAAGTTGGGAGAAGTTCTGCCTGGGGGAAGGAGGTATTCGAAGGCACATCCAGCAAAAGATCCTGTTCAGAACTTTCATCTGCATATCTTAAATAATCAAGCATAAGGGAGCTGTTATCAGGAGGCAAGGCGAATAGGCTTCTTGGGCTGAATCCAGTGCCATCGTTATCCACAAGCTCCTTGTGTTCATAGCTTGCCTTCATGAATGCTCCCTTGGGGCTCTTCATCGTGTTCTTCAGTCCTGAAAGATGCAAAATGATTTGATAATGTAGAAAACAAAAACATAAATCATGTTACTTCATACTAAGAATTATAAGCAGAGGTCAAATGCAGCATTCAAGTGGTGCAGCCACAAATTAACAAGACATGATATGTTGGTAAAACACGTGCTTAAAGTGTCAACTAAAAAGGAGTCTCGTTTAAATGTTAATACACTGTTGGCTGTTGCAGCCTGCAAATCAGGTACAAAAACCTTGAATCAAGTCCCACCAGCTTTCTTCTCTTTTTCTTCACGGACAGTGTAGCCTGGTTTCTCATACGCCAATCATAATCCGTAAATCAATCGGATTCTTTAGGGCGCGTTTGGTACAAGGGCCGGTACAAGACAAACAAAATTTGTTGTCCCACATTTGATACGACTTTTGATTTGGAACTAGACAAAACCATTTATTCTTCCCACCAAAATAGGTGGAACAAAAATCTGGGAGATGAGACGAACTTGGTAAATTACTAAACTACCCTCGTCAAATTAAAACCGTAATACCGTCCACATCCCCCCCCCCCCCC